AGAGTGAAAGCATCACAGGGCAGCCTGGCCCAGTCCTCCCCCATCTCTGGCTCCAGCTTCCAACTGCAGTGACCAAGCAAAACAGAGGCAGAATGGAAATGCCTGGTGCCTCACCTCCAGAGCTGTGAGGCCTGGGGAGAAGGACATGGGTTGGAAGTGTCAAGAGAATGGTGACATGGGATAAGTGAAACAGAGGGTGAGGGCTAATGAGGGAGGTTGGTGTTGGGGGTCTCAAGGGTTAGTTCTAAATGTTAAGATTAGGCCGACTGAGGGAGAGTGTCAGACCTGTCCTGTATTACCCTCACCCTTCTTGGCACAACTGCCTGACATTTTCACAATCAGTATAGAGACTGCCAGGATTCTGCAGAGATTAGCCTTATCCTCCTCTCCCATACACTGGCTGTTCCTTTGCCCTAGAGCTGAGCAGAGGACATGGGGTATCTGTAATCTAGCATCCCCAACTGATCTCTCTAGGGTTATCCTCCATCTGTTCTTTTTCTGGGCCTTTATTTTTCACTGTCTAACCTTAGTTTCTGCTGCGGTTGAAGCTCAACTTCACTTGTCCTTGGTAGAGATGGACGCAAGTCGCCTACATATCTGTCTGGAGAATGACCCTTGAAATTTCAAGTCTCTTTCTGTTCACCTGTCCTTACAATTTCCTACCCAGATTATTTTCCCTTAGACTGAATAAATGCAACTCCATACTCCTTTCTCCACTGATTTCCCTCTTCTTTTGAGGTCTCTTTCAGAGTTAGCTTTAATTAGCAAGCTCCAAACTGACTGGCTGGGCCAAACAGGACTGGAAGCTGATGAGTTGTTAGGGGTTCGGTGAGGACTGAGGGAGGACACAGAGTGAGTAAAGAAGGCTTCACATACTGGGAAATCTGGCTGGGCTTCAAGAGAGGGGGTTGCTGGTGGTGTGGCCAAGTTCCAAATGTTGGCCAAAAGCCAGTGCTCAAAGAAAAGGGGCCCTCAAGACAGTCTAAATGGCTCCCTTTGGTAAGTGACCTCCCAGTCCTTCTCAAGCGTAAGGGTTTCTTTTGGATCCTCAAAGACCAGAGCGGGCAAGCTGTTTCTCCACTGAATTCCCTCAATCACATTTGTGTTCTTTCTCTCCCAGCCACTCCCATAGTTCAAGCTTTGACTACAACCAGAATTCAGAGGCAGGGAGAAGGATTCCAGTGCTGGAGAGGAGAGTGGAGTGAACAAGTCCTCACGTGGGTGCCGGGAAGGAAAACCTGACCCTGGGACATGAGCTTCAAGCCTCTGTTGCCAGATGAGGTGGAGGGAGAAGTTAGCCCTGAAGTGTGTGTTCTGGAAGGGTTTGCTTGTAAACTAGAGACAACTGCAAAAAGTATGATTTGAGGGAGCTGAAAAAGAGTGATCTCAAATGGAGGGGAAGAAGTTGTTAAAAAGGGAAGGAGCAGGAGAAAGCCTCAGCTTCCACTCATACAAGAGCTAAAAGGGCAAAGATCTTGGCTGGAGCTGGACATTTCTCAACTTTTAAAATTTTGGAGATTTTTGTAAAAAGTATTAATCTTTTATTATTTATTAATTTATTGAGACAGGGTTTCACTCTGTCGCCCAGGCTGGAGTACAGTGGTGTGATCTCGGCTCACTGCAACCTCCACCTCCTTAGTTCAAGTGATTCTTCTACCTCAGTCTCCCGAGTAGTTGGGACTACAGGCTCGGGCCACTATGCCTGGGTAATTTTTGTATTTTTAATGGAGATGGAGTTTCACCACGTTGGTCAGTCTGGTCTCGAACTCCTGACCTCATGGTCTGCCTGCCTCAGCCTCCCAAAGTGGTGGGATTACGGTGTAAGCCACCGTGCCTGGCCTAACCGTTTATGTTTAAATGAAATTTAATGTGTTTTAAAAATTCAGTTTCTCAGTCATGCTATCCATGTTTCTTTTTCTTTTCTTTGTTTTTTTTTTTGAGACAGAGTCTCACTCTGTTGCCCAGGCTGGAGTGCACTGGATTAATCTATTCTGTGGAGTGAGGCAGATAATCTATTCCGTGGATTATCATTTTACTTTGTTGATGGTATCCTTAGAAGCACAAAAGTTTTCACTTTTTTTTTTTTTTTTTTTGAGACAGAGTCTCTGTTCCCCAGGCTGGAGTGCAGTGGTGCCATCTCGGCTCACTACAACCTCCACCTCCTGGGTTTAAGCAATTCTCTTGCCTCGGCCTCCTGAGTAGCTGGGATTACAGGCATGTATCACCATGCCTGGCTGATTTTTGTATTTTTAGTAGAGATGGGTTTTTGTCATATTGGCCGTGCTGGTCTCAAACTCCTGACTTCAAGTAATCTGCCTGCCTCCCTCCTGAAGTGCTTGGATTACAGGTGTGAGCCACCACTTCTGGCTTGGAAATTATTTTGAAATAATTACAGATCAGAGGAAGATGCAAAAACAGCACAGGAAGTCTTGTGTATCCTTCACCCAGTTTCCCCCAATAGTGACATCTTATGTAACTGCAGCACAAAACCAAAACTACTAAAAAGTTAATATTGGTACAGTACTTTTTTTTTTTTTGAGATGGAGTCTCACTTGGTTGCCCAGGCTGGAGTGCAGTGGTGCCATCTCAGCTCACTGCAACCTCTGCCTCCTGAGTTCAAGTGATTCTTGTGACTCAGCCTCCGGAGTAGCTGGGAATACAGTCACCTGCCACCACACCTGGCTAATTTTTGTATTTTTAGTAGAGACGGTGTTTCACCATGTTGGTCAGGCTGGTCTTGAACTCCTGACCTCAGGTGATTTGCTTGCCTTGGCCTCCCAAAGCACTGGGATTACAGGTGTGAGCCACCATGCCCGGCCCTCTAGTTTCTTCATTTCTCTCTTTACCTACAATATTGTCTTCTACCCCAACATTCTAGTCTCATTTCTCCTTGAGGGAAATCTCCACGTCTAAATTTACTAGGCTGGTCTAGTGTGCTCTGGTGTGTTCCCCTCCCTCCCTTGCCCCTCTATTTATAGCTGGGCTAATTTTGGGTGCCCTCTCTCTCTCTTCTTTCCTGATCCTTCCTCCTGTGGTGGTGAGGTGACTTCTCAAATATTTGGGCAGAGGAGGTCAGAAGCAGATTTTTGGCATCTGATTTCAGTCCTGGATCACAGAAGCCAGCCAAGTGGGAATGGAGGCAGACAGAAGCTGCAGGTGACAAAAGGAGGCAGCTTGGGCTCTAAAGGCATTTGGAGCTAGGGTGGAGGCAGTAGTCCCATTTCTATCCCAGTTCTATCCTGATTTTGCTATTCTGCATTCCCATATGAGTTCTTCTCTACTGTCTGGGGCTCTGAGATATAAAAGGGATGGGGAGCGCAGGGTGAAAGTAGAATCCTCATGCCAGCCCTGCTGACGGCACATGTATTTCCTTATAGTACCTGTTTAGAGATGCTCTAGTGCTTTGGAGGGGATCTCCACATGTGTAATATTGGAAAACAGAACCGGTGGCTCACGCCTGTAATCTCAGCACTATGGGAGGCTAAGGTGGGCGGATCATGAGGTCAGGAGTTTGAGACCAGCCTGACCAACATGGTGAAACCCCATCTCTATTAAAAAAAAAAAATAAATAAAATAATTAAATAAAAAAAGGACAACGGAGGGCCAGACTTCCAAATGTCTGTTAACTTACCCAAGGCAAACACTATCCCAGGGCCAGCAGAGTGAGAACCTACTTTTTTTTTTTTTCAAGTAAGTATAATCCTGAACAATGAAGTAGGAGAGACGAAGAGAACATGGGAAGAGGAATGCGATAGGTACACACTGGAACTTTTAAGAAAGGGAAGGAGAAGAGAGAATCATAAGAATATGATAGTGTTTGAAGGGCAGAGACAACATTAGAAACATTGAGAAATACTCTGAGAAAGATTCCAAGTGTGACAGAGACAAGAACGATGACAACATAGAATTTGGGATGAGACAAAACAAGATGGTGAGAGAAAGAAGAGAAGATGGACAGATGTATATTCACAAGACCAACACCAGTAAGCAGGAGGTGTAGGAAGGGGAAGTGGGAGCAAGCAAGGTTCCCATTATGCCAATTTATTTCCTGTCTCTCCTCCTGGCCCCATTTCTGTATCAGAGTTATAAATAGCAGAGAGTTGGAAAGTGTCCTCCCACCCCGCTGCTTCTGTCCCAGCCTGAGGGAAAGAGAGAGGAAGAGGGACAGCTATTGGGTCCCTGTGGAGATCCCGTCTCAGCTCCACCCAGCTCCTGCTAAGCCAGCCCAGGACTCTGCCCCCTTCCATCTCCTCCCGTTTCACGGATAGGAAATGTGCAGTCCTGAGAAGGGTCTAGTAGCTGGGGACACCCTTTACATCCCTCTGCCTCTCGGGTCCAGTCTCTTTCATCTTTGCCTTCTTTGACACCCACTCCGCTCCCCACTGCTTAATTTCCTCTTCCTGTAATCGTCCCCAGTCGTTTTCTTTTCTCCCTTAATTCCATCCCTTGTCAACCAACCTCTTGCCCGTCTTTCTTCCTCTCCATTCCTTTCCTTTTTCCATTTCTCCATTTGCTCCCCATATCTCCCGAGTTTTTCTCACTCTTCCTGCCTCTGTCTTTTTTTGTTCCTTTGAATCCTGACGCTGTGGCTAGCACTGCTGTGGTGGTTGCCAGGCTGGGGGCGGGGTATGGGATAGGATGGGGGAGGGCAGAGGTCTGATCCCAACAGCAGAAAGAGTGCTCTACGTGACCAGGGGGAACCGGGAGCACGGAGAGCCACACCGGGCCCAGGCCCGGGACCGCTCCTCTTTCATTTCCTTTCTATCTGCAAATCTCTTTTCCCAGGTTGTCTTTTAGCGTCTTCCCACTTCTCATCTCTTCCTCTCCTTCTCTTTCGGCCTCCCTCTTTCTATCGGTACTTCTCTCTCCGCATTCCTGGGCGCCGCCTCCACCACTCCCAGGCTGGGGATGGAGTTGGGGGAGAAGAAGAGGAGAGCACCCTGTGGGGGCGGAGCCGGAGACGGTGCTGGCCTTGGGGGGCGTGGTGGTGGTGGGGTCAGCAAGGCCAGTTTCCACCCCAGACACCAGCCTGGGCATCCTCTAGGCGACGCGCTTGGGTCTCCACCTGCCGCGGGAGAGAGGGGCGGGGCCGGGGGAGGGGCCTGGGCGGTGCCCCCGGGAGAGAAGGCGGGAGCCGGAGTGGACGCCCGAGCTGCGGCTGCTGTAGCTGCCCTAGCGGGTGTTGGGGCGGCGGACCGCGGGAGGGAGGGCTGGCGGGGCGAACGACTGGGAGACCTCAGAAAGACCAACGAGACTTCGGAGACCAGAGACGCGCCTGGGGGGACCTGGGGCTTGGGGCGCGCGCGAGTTCCCTTGCAATCGCTGGGAGCGCGCGCGGGGATCGTGCCATGGCCGGGGCTCGGAGCCGCGACCCTTGGGGGGCCTCCTGGATTTGCTACTTTTTTGGCTCCCTGCTCGTCGAACTGCTCTTCTCACGGGCTGTCGCCTTCAATCTGGACGTGATGGGTGCCTTGCGCAAGGAGGGCGAGCCAGGCAGCCTCTTCGGCTTCTCTGTGGCCCTGCACCGGCAGTTGCAGCCCCGACCCCAGAGCTGGTAAGTCACTGCACCCGCCCAGAGTCCCCACGTCCGAGCCACAGATCGACCCCCTCTCCGCTCTGCGGGCCACCACATTTCTCTGTTTTCCAGCTCCACCAACACCTAGACTGCCCACCGACATCTCACACCCCAACCTGGAGCCTTGCCTCATTTGCCTTGGGTCTGAAGCTGCACTCTCCGGCCCTGAGACCCAACATTTTGCTTTAGGGATGAGCAAGGTTCTTGTCTTGGCAGCAAACAATCTTCTGGGCCTTTTCCCCCAACTTGCGTCCTTGATCCAGTCCCAGGGCCTGCGGCTCCCCTGCTTCTTCCAAAGGCTGAATTCCCCAAGGAAGAGAGACTGTCTCTGCTTAGAACGGGAGGAGATGGAAAGGGCACAGAGGTTGAGGGTGCCATGAGAGGGATGCAGGGCAGACTCCAGAAATAACTACCTGCCAGAGCATTGCCATGGATGGAATGAGGGCAGCAGGGCACTGGCAGGTCAGGAGAGAACTGCCACTTCAGTGGCTTAGGACCACGGGAAGATTGGGAGAGGGTCTGCAGGTCTGGCAGCCTGCAGTAGGTGGCTTGGTGACAGAGTGGCAGAAAACTGAGCCTCCAAAACTACTGGTAATAGTAGCAGCAGCAGCAGCAGCAGCAGCAGCAGCAGCAGCAGCAGCGAGAGAGAGCCAGGAAGGATGCTGGCCAGGCTGCTCCCCTTCCTCCTCCTGAGGAAATTTCCAACTCCAGGAATCTCGCAGTAGGGAAATGCCAGGAGGAGTAAGGGGTGGAGGGCAATTCTAATTCTTTCTAATCAGTTTAGGACCCATGGGAGATGGATATACTTTTGTGTGGGTCCTGTGGCTGGTCGTGCTGCCTGCATCCTTGGCTCTTGCTACATGTCTGACTGTAAAAGAAGAGGCCAGAGGTGAAGAAAGCTTCTCACCGGCTCCTGCTAGGGGGCTTTTTTCTCTTCAGCCGGTGCCTAAGCCATTGATCCCATTACTGGGATCAATGCTGTCCACTGGGACTGTCTTCTCCCCTACTATTGGTCTGGGGGCAGGGGGCAGGGACAAGAGCTCATTTCTCCTCACTTGCTCAGGGAGTGGGGGCCTAGCTCTAATCTTTCTTCTTCCATTATCCCTATCATCTGGTGGCAAGGTTGGTGGTCCCCAAAACATCGGGAGAGGTAGAAAGCAACAGACTTCACCTCCTCTCCTGTTTGCCATCTGCTTCATCATTCACATTTGCTCCTTCCCTCCCTTCTTCCCCCATCTGCCAGAGTTCCAGGACTGGAGGCCTTTTTAGGACATGCTGAACTCCCTAAGCTATTTCCAGGCAAATTCTGTGTTATTTTTAATAGCTTGGTCTCTTGTCGTTTCCCCCCTCCTCTCTGCAGGTGGCCCCTGATTCTGTCTCCCAGAGCCAAGCTGGGGGTATTCCCAGAGGGCGTGACTGTCTCGCTCTGCTTTTGCTCCAGCAGGGGGTGCTCTGCTGCCAGGGGGCATGTGAGAGGCCAGGCACCTGCTTAGTGCCTAGCTTTTGAGTTGCAGGTCACCTGCCTTAGCACTCACTGATGAAAAGAACTTCTGGTCTGCTTTGATGGCTTTCAGTCTTGCTTTGGGATGTGACTTTGCGGTGTAACCTTTGCTGTGTGGTTCCAGCCTCATTTATTTCCTTCAATTGTAAAATGGATATAAACAGTAGTATGACTACATAGGGTTGTGTGGATTAAGAGTTCTTAATGTATGTAAAATGCTTAGAATAGTGCATAGCCCACAGTGAGTGCCGTGAAAGTGTTAGTAGTACTGCTATTCTTGTATTGTGATTCACAGAGCGCCTTACAGAGATCCTGGATCCAAACGCTTGGCTAGAGGGCCTTCCTGGCTGAGCCAGCCTTCCAGGCCAAGCATCCTCCCCAGAGGGCCACCCAGATTGAGAGGGGCTAAAGAGGGGCTGGACTTGGGCTGGGGCCCTGGAGTGTGTGGAGAATCGAGAAGTGCAGTGGTCATGGGCTACTCCTTTGTTTTCACTTATCTAAGCTCCCAGGGGGTCCCTCTGCCCCCAGATGCCAATATATATATTTTTCTCTCTTCAGTGGCTGCACTGTGGCTGTCCAGAAGCCTGGGGTGGCTAGGGCTCATGGCATGCAGCCAGGAAGGAGTGTGTGTGTGGCTGGACTGGAGGTGGAGGAACTAGAGAGGCTGTGGGTGGATGCTCTTGTTCCACTAGGGATCAGCTGGTTTCTTCTCCACCGAGAGTGGACTGGGCATATCTGTGCACTCAGCTTCTTTCTTCCATATGAGACCTTCCTCTCCTCCCTACTTCTGGCCTCCAGAGGAGATGTGTGCATAGAACAAAGTTAGCTTCTCTGGGTGCTTAGCTATGCACTGACCAGCTGTGACACTGGGTATCTCTATGAGTCCACAAAATCTGTGTGTTCAGTACACACATCCTGACACTCCCATTGGGGCAAGCACAAAGATGAAAAGACAGCCTGATCCTCAGAGACATGGCCACCTCTGTGTTTGGAGGTTGGGGGCACTGCTGACTTGCCTGAAGTTGCCATTTATTTGCACAGGGCTGTATTACTTCATTCCCTTTTCTGCCCAGGCTACCCACATCTCCCCTCTTTCTTCTTCCTTTTCTGGGGTGGTCTCAGTGTTCTAGAGACAGGTCAGTCATTGGGCGGAGTGACAAAGTGTTGGAGTTAGGCTGATGTGGATTTGAATTTCAGCATCACTGCTTAATGTTTTTGAGTGAGTTTCCTCATCTGAAAGACAAGAAAAGAATCCTTATCTCATAGGACTGTTGTGGAGATTAAATAACATAATGCATGTGACTTGCCTATCCTGGTGCTTGGCACATATGTGGACAGTGACGAATGTGAGTTTCTCATATCCCTGGTGTCTAGCCTCGGACCTGACCTCACAGTAGGTGCTGAACAAATATGATTCTTTTGTTCCATCAGCGCCTGACACAGGACTTGGCATGTGACAGACTCTCAATAAGTAGTTGAATGCCCTTCTCTACTACTCCCTATGCCCCTTCTCTGTCTTGACAGTGGCTCTGACAAGGGATGACAGCTGCTAAGAGATGAGGAGGAGTTGTGGGAAGGAAGAATGGTTCTCTGGCCTCCCCCTCCTCCCCATCAGACCTGGCACAGTGCCCCACAGATGCCTGTCTGTAATATTGCCCAACACGGTTTTGGGCCTTGCCCTCCCAGGAAGGGAGATGGAGGAGAAGAGTGTGGGAGAGAGGCCTTGAGGTTTGTCCCGCTGCCGCTTCTGAGTCTCTCCTTCTGCAAAGAGAGGACCCGTGGAGCCAGCTGGGTGTCAGTCATCTCACTTCACCCGGTCTTCACTCCTGGCCTGGGGATTCAGCCCCAGGGGACCCAGGCAGCCTCCATTCCCAGCACAGTGCTTCCCTGGGGAAGCCGCCTTGGCTGTGATCATGGAAAATTGTCCTGCCAAGAAAGTTATAGCTGGGAAAGAGGCCGAGGGGGAGGCAGGAGAGAAGGCTGCGTGGGGGTGGGGGGTGGAAGGGAAGGAGAAATCATGGATGTGGGGAGGAGAAGGAAGGTTGGGGAAGGGAATTCAGGATGTGGAGAAGAGAATGGGGTAGAATTGGAGGCAGAATGAGAAACTTGTCCCTACCTCCATGCCAGCCGGAGTGACTGATTGAATCCTGGGCTGGCAATTTCTTGGAGGTGGGGTTTTTGCTGGGTCCCTGATGAGGGGGAAGGGGGTCCTTATCTAGCCTCTTGCCTGGCCTCTGAAACTGGTCCCTGAGCCACACTCTGGTGCCAGTCTGGGCCCCTGTTACTTTTGCTCCCAGCATTCTTGGCATTTCTGTCTGGTTTTCAACTGGACTGGGTTGGGGAGCAGGGCAGAGCTTGGGGATGGGGCCAAGGAGGGGGTAGGGAAGGCCTACTCAGGAACAGGTGCTGGGAACAGGCGGTTCTTTCAAACTAGCAGGACTGGCTATCGAGTTAGCTTGTGTGTGTATATATATATCTATTGTGCATGTTGGTCCCTCATCCAGATAGTGTGTACATGCAACGTGATGACCAAGTATATTAATTTGTCCTTGCCAGGGTTTGTGAAAACTGACATATTTGCCCCTTCTCTTTAGTCTTTTAACACTCTCTTTAGTACTGAGGGGTTGGGCCTGGGCAGCTCTAAGGAGGTTGGATTGTTCTGCCCTCTAACTCCTGTTCCTGCCCTTGCACCGTTTGCAGGCTGCTGGTGGGTGCTCCCCAGGCCCTGGCTCTTCCTGGGCAGCAGGCGAATCGCACTGGTGGCCTCTTTGCTTGTCCCTTGAGCCTGGAGGAGACCGACTGCTACAGAGTGGACATCGACCAGGGAGGTGTGGCCCTGCATGAACGGATTGGGGGAAGTGTGTGATGGGGGAGGAGAGGAATTGGGCTCCTCTTCCCTCCCCTAATTCCCAGTGTCCTGCCTCCAGCTGATGTGCAAAAAGAAAGCAAGGAGAACCAGTGGTTGGGAGTCAGTGTTCGGAGCCAGGCACCTGGGGGCAAGATTGTTGTGAGTACTACTCATGACTGAATGCAAGGATGGTGTGTGTGTGTGTGTGTTTATGGTGTGTGCATATGCACAGCTGTGCTTAGACAACACAAGTTAGGAACATGGTATGATTCCAAGTACACCAGGGAGATATAAAAAGGTGTGAGACATGGTCCTTGTCCTTATAAATGTAAACGTCTGTCCATTCATCCATCCTTCCATTTGTCAAACTCTTATTGAGAACCTTTTAAGCATCAGGCATTGTACTAGTTACTCAGAGAGGGTGTATAAACACAGGGGAAAGCCTGGACCATGCCCAATGGCTATGGGGATTCTCATTCTTTCTCTCTCTCTATTTTTTTTTTTTTGTGTCTCTCTGTATCTTTCAGTTACTTGCATAGACACACAATTACCAATACAGGTCACTATGGGGCAGAATCTGGTTAATGTTAGGTGAGTGGTCTAGTCTCCAGTCTATAAAGTCCAAAGGAGGAGTGGAGAGAAAAGACTTCTGCAGATGGGGGGATTTGAGCCAGGCTTTTAACAATAGATAATACCGAGCCTGGGCAACACAGTGGGATGCCGTCTCTACAAAAGATAAAAACAAATTAGCCAGTCGTGGTGGTGCATGCCTGTAATCCCAGCTACACAGGAGGCTGAGGTGGGAGGATCACTTGAGCCCTGGAGGCTGCAGTGAGCTATGATTGTGTCACTACACTCCAGCTTGGCTGGGTAACAGAGTGAGACCTTGCCTCAAAAAAAAAAAAAAAAAAAAAAAAAAAGTAATACTTGGAGAGTGAAGAGGAAAGGAAATTCTTTGTAGATGAGGTGATAACACAAAGGTCCAGGGATGCCGGGCACGGTGGCTCATGCCTGTAGTTCCAGCACTTTGAGAGGCTGAGGTGGGCAGATCACCTGAGGTCAGGAGTTCAAGACCAGCCTGACCAACATGGAGAAACTTCGTCTCTACTAAAAGTACAAAAAATTAACTGGGTATGGAGGCGCATACCCGTAATCCCAGCTACCGGAAGGCTGAGGCAGGAGAATCGCTTGAACTCGGGAGGTAGAGGTTGTGCTGAGTTGAGATGGTGCCATTGCACTCCAGCCTGGGCAACAAGAGCAACACTCTGTCTCGAACAACAACAACAACAACAACAACAAAGGTCTGGGGACAGGGCCAAGCTTGGCATTCTGGAGGACTGTGATATGACTAGGGAGACACACATCCTATGTGGTGGCTTAGTAGTGTCTTTTGGCTCCAGGCAGAATGTGGAACGAGGACATCACCATTTGAGGGCAAGAAGTGGGTGCAGACAGGATGCTGGGTTATGCATGGACCTGCGTAACACTGGCAGGGTAATGGTGCTTGAGTGGTGCCTGCATAGGGGTGTGTGCGCGCGCATGTGTGTGCGTGTGTGTGTGCGTGCGAGCACACACGTATCAGTATCTGCCAAACTGCTGTATGTGGGCAGCCTGCTTCAAGCAGGTCCCTGGCCCACAGAGTGAAACGATCCCCATCCCTTTCTCCCCCAGACCTGTGCACACCGATATGAGGCACGGCAGCGAGTGGACCAGATCCTGGAGACACGGGATATGATTGGTCGCTGCTTTGTGCTAAGCCAGGATCTGGCCATCCGGGATGAGTTGGATGGTGGGGAATGGAAGTTCTGTGAGGGGCGACCCCAAGGCCATGAACAATTTGGGTTCTGCCAGCAGGGCACAGCTGCCGCCTTCTCCCCTGATAGCCACTACCTCCTCTTTGGGGCCCCTGGAACCTATAATTGGAAGGGTGAGTCACTCCTCGGGGAGGGGAGAAGGGACCAAAACCTCCTCTCACCTCAGAGACAGGGCTGAGGACAGCACATGGCCAAGCATGACCACGTGTGCACTGCTGTATGGCCCCAGGGCACTGCCATGCCTTCCACCCCATTGAGCTAGTGCACACGCGAATGTGGGGGGTACCACCTTTCCCTTGCATGGCCAAGTGTTCCTCAACATGCTGGCATGAGCCCCAAGTGCACACTGGGCCCGCATGCTCCAACACACTAGCCCACACCTCATCACTGCCATTCCCGTCTCCGCACGCTGCTGCTGGCTGAGCTGACACTCGGTGAGTGTGATGCCACGACTGGGGACCCCAGGAAGCCTGGGTAGGGGAGGGGGTGGAGAGAGGGCTGGAAAGAAGAGGAGGGGCTTCCCCGTGTGCCTGTCTAACTCAGCGTCCAGCCTGAGGGGTGCTCCCTGTGCCCTGCCTCTGGCACTAACAGGACTGTCCTTGCAGGCACAGCCAGGGTGGAGCTCTGTGCACAGGGCTCAGCGGACCTGGCACACCTGGACGACGGGCCCTACGAGGCGGGGGGTGAGAAGCAGCAGGACCCCCGCCTCATCCCGGTCCCTGCCAACAGCTACTTTGGTAGGGACCCCTCCCGGCCCAAAGCCACTCTAATCCTCTGCTCCTCTCTCTTGTCCTCCCTCTCCATGCTCCCATCCTTCTGTCTCCGTTTCTGTCTCTCACCCTGTCTGTCTTTCTGTCTGGCTGTGATCTCTCTGGTTTCTTTTCTCTCTCTACTTCTTCTTCTTTCACCTTTTTCTGGCCTTTCTGTGGCTCTGTCTCCCTACTCTGTGGCCCCCTCTCTGGATGTTCCCTCCCTGGTGTCTCCCCCCACCCCCCACAGGGTTGCTTTTTGTGACCAACATTGATAGCTCAGACCCTGACCAGCTGGTGTATAAAACTTTGGACCCTGCTGACCGGCTCCCAGGACCAGCCGGAGACTTGGCCCTGAATAGCTACTTAGGTTTGTAAGCTCCCACCTCCTGGACTCTAGGGTCGTGGCCCAGCCTCCCCTCCTTCCCCAGGGAACTCGACCTCTGCTGCCTTAAAATCTCCTCTTCCCCAACACACACGCAGGGAGACACACATTGGGCCCAAATTGCAGAAAAGAGCTGGGTCCAGTGACCAGGCCTAAGAAGAGGAGGCCCCAAGGGTGATGGCCTCTGGGGCTGTGAGCCAGGGGTCTCCATAGAAGATCCAGGTGGAGTGAGAGGGCCAGGGCTGAGGATATCCTGGGAAGGACAGTCCTGCCTTCTAGGGAACTTTCCCTGAGGGATGGGTGGTGGGCACATACTGAAGAAAGGGCCAGTGTTGTTGGTAACTTACCATTGTCTCATCTGCGTCCCTCTGCAGAGGAGGAGGAAACCAGGCCTGGGAGATGTTTGGGTGAAGCAGGCTCTCTCTCACTCCCCTTTGCCTCCCCCTCATCCATGCAAAGACTTCCCCTCCCTGCCAGGATGAGGCAGTGGGGGGAAAGAGGTGCACTGGGTGGGACTGGGGCTGGAGAGAGACTGGCCCTCTCCTCTAGCTCCCTGGGTGTGGGTAGGGTGGGGCCGCTGTGCTCAGCCTCCTGCCTGGGCTCCTGGCTTTCTCAGCCATCACCTTTCTCTCTCCTGCGCGGTCCCTGAGGCTGACCTCACTGCACTTTTTGTGCCAAGCTTGTCTCTGGGCCTGGTGGGTATGAGGAGCTGCCAGGCCCTGTGGGGAGGAAGAGCTATCCAGCTGTGGTGCTGATGACTTGGGGGGAAACTATCTTTCTGCTCTTAACTTGGGGGAGGGGCCAGGGGCTAGGGGAACTGTGACTTGGCTCTTAGCCTGTGGGGAGGGAGCAGGGGCCAGGGAAGCTGTGACACACCCCAGCTTCTGAGGCTTGGGGTGAAGACTCAGGGGTAAGTCACCCTTCCCCCAGGTTTCTCTATCGACTCGGGGAAAGGTCTGGTGCGTGCAGAAGAGCTGAGCTTTGTGGCTGGGGCTCCCCGTGCCAACCACAGGGGTGCCGTGGTCATCCTGCGCAAGGACAGCGCCAGTCGCCTGGTGCCCGAGGCTGTGCTGTCTGGGGAGCGCCTGACCTCTGGCTTCGGCTACTCGCTGGCTGTGGCTGACCTCAACAGTGATGGGTGAGTGGGTGCAGGGCTGTGCCACCTCAGGGAGGCTGGGTCCAGGAGGTTTGAGTGGCCTTTGGCACCTCCTGCCGGCTCCTCTGGCCAGGGAGGACCCACACTGAATGTTTCCCTCTCTCCATAGCTGGCCAGACCTGATAGTGGGTGCCCCCTACTTCTTTGAGCGCCAAGAAGAGCTGGGGGGTGCCGTGTATGTGTACTTGAACCAGGGGGGCCATTGGACCGGAATCTCCCCGCTCCGGCTCTGTGGCTCCCCTGACTCCATGTTCGGGATCAGCGTGGCTGTCCTGGGGGACCTCAACCAAGATGGCTTTCCAGGTGTGACTGGGAACTGGAAAGGCTCAGGGGAGGGAGGGGCCCGAGGAGGGATGGGGGAGCCCCTCGGAGGTCAGGGTGTGGTCTTCTGAGGACCCAGGGAGAGAGGGTCCCTGGGCTTCGGTCTGAGCTTTACCATTTCCCAGCTTTCTGACCTTGGCAAGTTACCTAACCTTTTTGCGATAGTAATATCTGCGGGGAGTGGCCAAGAGGATTGAAGATGATGTTTATAGAGTGCCTGGGATTTTGTAGCCTCCCAATAAAATAGAAAACAGACCTGAGTGACTGGGGGAGAGTTGAGGCCTGGACCTTGTCTGTACTCCCAGCCAGCGTGACTGCCTTTTCTTTGTGCCCTGCAGATATTGCAGTGGGTGCCCCCTTTGATGGGGATGGGAAAGTCTTCATCTACCATGGGAGCAGCCTGGGCATTGTCGCCAAACCTTCACAGGTGAAGGGAGTCTGGGATGAGGGAGTGGGTGTGTGGGTGGAATCAGGGCAGCAGAGGCACCAGGGGAGGCAGAGGCCTGTGGGAGGTGGGATTGGGGGAGGCTGACAGCCGGTTCTCTAGGTGCTGGAGGGTGAGGCTGTGGGCATCAAGAGCTTCGGCTACTCCCTGTCAGGCAACTTGGATATGGATGGGAACCAATACCCTGACCTGCTGGTGGGCTCCCTGGCTGACTCTGCCGTGCTCTTCAGGTGAACCCCTCAGCACCTTCTCCCTCCCTGAGGCCGTGAGCCCCTCCCTGTGACTCTGACCCCCACCCCAGGGCCAAATCTGATGCTTAAGAGTGTTTCCCAGCTTCATGTTCTCATGTTTCTTGTGCCTTTGATTCCCCAATCCCAGGGCCAGACCTGTCCTCCATGTCTCCCATGAGGTCTCTATTGCTCCTCGAAGCATCGACCTGGAGCAGCCCAACTGTGCTGGTGGCCACTTGGTCTGGTGAGGCGGGATCGGGGGGGGGCACCTGGACCCTGGCAGGTTCTCCTGCCCTCCCCTTGATCCCTTTATCTCGGCAGTTTGGGGCTGGGGTGGGGCTGTGACAGGTTGTGACACATGGGTGGGGGCCTCGGCCCATCAGCCTCGTTTGACTCAGGAGCCACCCTTTGCCCCCACAGTGTGGACCTAAGGGTCTGTTTCAGCTACATTGCAGTCCCCAGAAGCTATAACCCTACCGTGGGTGAGTGCAGCCCCGCTCCTGTGGCTCACCCTTTTGGGTTTCCTGGAGAGGGGGCTCACTTCAAAGTGGAGAGAAGAGCACCCTGGGGATGGGGTCACCTGGAGCAGCTCTCCGGCTCAGCGGCTCTTTCTCTCCCAATACACCGCAGCCCTGGATTACGTGTTAGACGGGGACACAGACCGGAGGCTCCGGGGCCAGGTTCCCCGTGTGATCTTCCTGAGACGTAGCCCAGATGAACCCAAGCACCAGGCCTCGGGCACCGTGTGGCTAAAGCACCAGCATGACCGAGTCTGTGGAGATGCCATGTTCCAGCTCCAGGTGGACACTGACCCCTTGGCTTCTCAGGGTCATTATCATGGCACCATCTCTTTTCCGTGACTCCTCTTAGCTGCTTCTTCCTGAGCACACACGTGCCTTTCTCTAAGACCTAGACACGTGGGAAACCTGTCTTCTGAGCTCACTTCCTCCTCACCTGCTGCCTGCCCCCTCCTGTCATTTCTGCACTCCCTTTCAGAGGAGAGGGCAGCTTTTATCATCACATCTGGTCCTCAAAGCCCTGAATCCTGGGTTACCCCTCTTCTCTCCCCGTCTTTCTCCCTCCTCCTTGCTCAGTTCTCCAACTCTCTCCTCCATCTCCCTAAGCTTCCTTCCAAGTTTCAGAATTGGTCCTACTTGTGGCTGGGGCACTGAGCAGGGCTGAGGCCGGGGGACTATTCCAGCGAGGAACGGCCCTTCCTCTTCCTAGGAAAACATCAAAGACAAGCTTCGGGCCATTGTAGTGACCTTGTCCTACAGTCTGCCGACCCCTCGGCTCCGGCGACAGGCTCCTGGCCAGGGGCTGCCCCCAGTGGCCCCCATCCTCAATGCCCACCAGTCCAGCACCCAGCGGGCAGAGGTGAGCATGGGTTCTGGTTTGGCCCAGGAGGAGGAGCGGGGAGGGCAAAGATCATGGTCCCTCCCCAGTTATACCCATTCATGGCTCACAGAGCTCCTTCGCCTTTGCTACTCCGGTAATTCCTCATATCTCTAGGTGCCCAAATGACCATGTATTCCTAGTCAAGGGGACAGAGCTCCTTTGCTCCATGTAGTCAGTCCGGGGTTCAGGTTGATAGGATTCTGTCATCTTCAAATGTGGCCTCGAAGCCCTTGAAGTCACTTTCATCCCATTCAGCTGGAAGGGGGGACATGAAGCCCCTTGCATGGCTTTTATGGCCGGACCAGAAGTGGTGCCCTTGCCTTCTCTTCATGTTCTAAATCTGGACCTCAGTTACACACACGTGAGCTGGGGCAGTGTGGCCAGCTCTTGATTTGCTGCTAGTCTCTACCATGGCATGGCAGTGCTGCCATTGTTTGACTCCTCTCCAGAGGAGAGGATGTAGCTCAGGATCACACAGCTAGTAAGCAGCAGATATGAGAGTGGAGCACAGGTTGTTCAACGCTGTGATACTCTAACCCAGCGTATGCCATGGTGACAGGTTTGCCCCCTGCCTCACCCCCTAGGAATGCCCCTTATCTAACGCCTCTCCCCAGATCCACTTCCTGAAACAAGGCTGTGGTGAAGACAAGATCTGCCAGAGCAATCTGCAGCTGGTCCGTGCCCGCTTCTGTGCCCGGGTCAGCGACACGGAATTCCAGCCTCTGCCCATGTGAGGGGGCAGAGAGCGGGGGAGAGGGGTGGGTGGGCCAGGGTTCAAGGAATGAGAGAAAACCCCCTCAGGAGGACCAGTCAGAGGGAGGGGCTTAGCCGGCAGAGAGGGCAGAAGGTGGAAGAGGACCTGCCGATGACTTAGGAGACTGAGCTGAGGGGCTGGGTGCAGTGGCTCATGTCTGTAATCCCAGCACTTTGGGAGGCCGAGGCGGGTGGATCACCCAAGGCCAAGAGTTCAAGACATCCAGTCTGATCAACATGGTAAAACCCCATCTCTACTAAAAATATCAAAATTAGCTGGGTGTGGTGGTGCATGGCTGTAATCCCAGCTACTTGGGAGGCTAAGGCGGAAAAATCACTTGAACCTGGGAGGCAGAGGTTGCAGTGAGCCAAGATTGTGCCATTGCACTCCAGCTGGGCAAGAAGAACGAAACTTCGTCTTAAAAAAAAAAATAAAAAGGCTGAGATGAGGGTCAGTGATGGAGTGCGGGGGCTCCCATGGCAAGGAATAGCAATCCTTCACAGTACACTAATCATATGCAGTCTACATACACCTCATTGGTTAGTCTTCAGACCTCTGTGAGGTAGGAATTATTAGTCTCGTTTTATAGATGGAGAACTGAGGCCTAGAGAGGTTAAGTTACTTGCCCAAGGAAAATAATGCTGCAACTGAGATGCGAATGGAGGTCCCCTGACTCCCAGTCGTGTGTACAGAGGCTTGAGGCTTGGACCAGTGTGATGGGGAGGAGAGGCTCAGGGAGTGAAGGCAGGTGCTGGGGGAGCTGGCCGGGAGGGGCAGTGGTTGGGGGAGGTGTTCAGAACTTAGTGGGAGTGGGGTCTGACTCTCTAGGGATGCAGACGGAACAACAGCCCTGTTTGCACTGAGTGGGCAGCCGGTCATTGGCCTGGAGCTGATGGTTACCAACCTGCCATCGGACCCAGCCCAGCCCCAGGCTGATGGGGATGATGCCCATGAAGCCCAGCTCCTGGTCATGCTTCCTGCCTCACTACACTACTCAGGAGTCCGGGCCCTGGACCCTGCGGTGAGACCATGGGGCAGGATGGGGTGGGGTCTTGAGGGGCTCCAGTCACCCAAACTGACCTCGCCTTCTCTCCCATTCCAGGAGAAGCCACTCTGCCTATCCAATGAGAATGCCTCCCATGTTGAGTGTGAGCTGGGGAACCCCATGAAGAGAGGTGCCCAGGTTGGCATATCTGCCCTTATCCCTGTGTGAGTGGCCCCTCCGTAAGCCTGTAGGCCACCACTGACTCGAATCTCTTCTCACTCTTGGCCTAGGTCACCTTCTACCTCATCTTTAGCACCTCAGGGATCAGCATTGAGACCACAGAACTGGAGGTGAAGCTGCTGTTGGCCACGTAAGCCTGGCGGGGCCAGAGGGTGAGGTGGGGCAGTCATTTGGCCTCATCTGACCCCTTGGGAGGTGCCTGTGCTTGATGTCCACACTTGCCCCTGCCCACTCTCCAGGATCAGTGAGCAGGAGCTGCATGTAGTCTCTGCACGAGCCCGTGTCTTCATTGAGCTGCCACTGTCCATTGCAGGGTGAGCCTGGCCCAAGAGGCACCTCCATGGGAGGGAGGGGGCATTTTCACTTCCAAACCCTGGCCAGGGCCCTGCCTCTATTCAGCCAGGCCCCAGACCTTCTCACCCCTGTTCTGACCTCTCCATGTCAGGATGGCCATCCCCCAGCAACTCTTCTTCTCTGGAGTGGTAAGGGGTGAGAGCGCCATGCAGTCTGAGCGGGATGTGGGCAGCAAGGTCAAGTATGAGGTCACGGTAAGTGTCAGGGATGAGGCCCCTCCATGGTTGCCCTTGGCCCCTTGGCACAGCAGAGAGGCTGAGCTGTGTCCCCAGGGCTGGGGCTGTTTTACGTGTGGCGGCATGCTGGTCCAGCGAGTTTGAGGCCTCTGCCCTGCACCTGGACCTTGGCTGTGGGTGGATGTTTCTGCTGGGGCCTCACCTGACCATTTCCTGGTCGTTCTATCTGGCTGTCTCACCTGCTGGTCTGGTAGGCCATGAGAGTCCAGGAAAGCTTCTCTGCTGTGGGCCTCAGCTGGGGGATGGGAACATGGGGCTGGGGTTAATGTCTCTTCCTAGAACTCTGCCTTTGCTTGGCTGGGGCTTCTCCTCACACCTTCCAGGGACACTTCCAGGTTTTCCTGGATTTGGTAGGCGGAGAGAATGGTGCCTGGTGGGGTCTAGGATCCCAAGTCTTTGTTGAAATTGTTTCCAGAGGGCCTTCTTTTCAGCCCTTGTTCCTTCCATCTCTGTGGATTTAAGATCCCCTTGAAAACTGAGTTTCTTGGCTGGGCACGGTGGCTCATGCCTGTAATCACAGCACTATAAGAGGCCAAGGTGGCAGGACTGTTTGAGCCCAAGAGTTAGAGGCTGGCCTGGGCAACATAGCCAGATCCTGTCTCTACAAAAATTGAAAAACAAAACAAAACAAAAAAACACAAGTGAGGTCCCGCCTCTCATACTCTCCTTTTCCCACAGGTCTCCAACCAAGGCCAGTCACTCAAAACCCTGGGCTCTGCCTTCCTCAACATCATGTGGCCCCATGAGATTGCCAATGGGAAGTGGCTGCTGTACCCAATGCGGGTGGAGCTGGAGGGCGGTCAGGGGCCTGGGCAGAAAGGGCTTTGCTCTCCCAGGCCCAACATCCTCCACCTGGTGAGGCTTAGGTGGGGGTGGGGTTACATGTTGGGAGGGATGTCATGGTGGGGGGCTAGGGGAGTGAGTGTGGTGATGGCCCAGGAGGAAGGTGGTGGGGAGGAGATTCCATCTCAGGACTGCTGTGATTGGAGGGACACTCACTGGGACACCCTGCTCCTTCCATGTCCAGGATGTGGACAGCAGGGATAGGAGGCGGCGGGAGCTGGAGCTGCCTGAGCAACCGGAGCCTGGTGAGCAGCAGGAGCCTAGCATGTCCTGGTGGCCAGTGTCCTCTGCTGAGAAGAAGAAAAACATCACCCTGGTGAGGGCAGGCTAGACTCGGTGCAGCCAGAATGGGGGTGTGTGGTGTGGTGCTATGTGTCCAGGGAGGGTAGCCTGTTGAGATACTGTTGAGATGATGATCAAACACCTGGGGCAAGTTGATCAGATGGTTCCCATCACAACTCATGGGAGGGGGCGCCTGGGAGGCAGTTGCTGACATTGCAGAGCCCTTCCCGCCCAGCCCCTGCAAGTGCTCACTCCAGAGCAGGTCACTCCACCTGAAGCCAGTTAGCCAAGCAGTCGATTCACCGCATGTTTATATAAAGCATTATATTGTTTAGGTGACGGGATGGGGTTAGCCCATCCTCACACTGTGAGGTCTGTTTGTTGTTCCTTTGAACTCTTATAAGATAAAAAAGTCAATTTGTATAAGGACACATGCTCAATTTTTACAATATTAAAAACGCTAAATTATTTTTTGTTGTTGTTGAGACAGAGTCTCACTCTGTCACCCAGGCTGGAGTGCAGTGGCACGATCTCAGCTCACTGCAACCTCTGCCTCCTGAGTAGCTGGGACTACAGGAGTGCACCACCACGCCCGGTTAATTTTTGTGTTTTTAGTAGAGACGGGGTTTCACCGTGTTGGCCAGGCTAGTTGGTCTCGAACTCCTAATCTTAAGTGATCTTCCTCCCTCCGCCTCCCAAAATGCTCGGATTACAGGTGTGAGCCATGTGCTCAGCAAAAACGATAAATTCTAAAAGTTCCAATAATTAAGACGACAGTAAATTGTGTATGATTCATTAAGTCTATCCCTTTTGGGCAGCTCTGCTTTCCCTTTTTCTGCTTGTTTCGCAGAGTTGTGTTGTTTAGGTGAGTAGATCTGCACCTGCTCTGTGCCCCTCCCTGCTAGGATGGGGCTGGCAGTGAGAATGTGGTGGGGACGTAGATTAGGAGAGTCTTTGGTCTGATTGTAAGGAGGTGGAGGTAAACCCCAGGTAGAGCCAAGGAGACCCTTTGCAGGGGAATGTCAGCAGCTGCTGCAGTCCCACCCTGGGCCCTCAGCTCCTCTGGGAATATAGTCTTCCCTGGGAACATGACATGAAGCTTCCCTGGGAACATGACATGAGGCTCCCCTGGGAACATGACATGAGGCTTCCCTGGGAACATGACATGAGGCTAACCAAAGAACGCCAGGGGTGGTAGGAACCTGTGTCATGGCTGTTGCTCTGTTACATGGGGATAGTCCTCCCTTCTCCATGTGACCGATTTCCTCTGAGAGGCCTTCTTTTTAAATGGGAACTTTGAAATAGAGTCTCGTTTTAATGTTAAAATTTATTTAAATGACAAAATTATATGTATCATGTATAACATGATATTTTGAACTATGTATATACTGTGGAATGGCTGTTGGGCTAATTAACATATGCATCACCTTGCATATTTATTTTTGTGGTAAGAACACTTAAAATCTATTCTCTTAGTGATTTTCAAGAATGTGATATGTTGTTATTTTTTTTTTTTGAGACGGAGTTTCGCTCTTGTTACCCAGGCTGGAGTGCAATGGCGCGATCTCGGCTCACCGCAACCTCCGCCTCCTGGGTTCAGGCAATTCTCCTGCCTCAGCCTCCCGAGTAGCTGGGACTACAGGCACGCGCCACCATGCCCAGCTAATTTTTTGTATTTTTAGTAGAGACAGGGTTTCACCATGTTGACCAGGATGGTCTCGATCTCTTGACCTCGTGATTCACCCGCCTCGGCCTCCCAAAGTGCTGGGATTACAGGCGTGAGCCACTGCGCCCGGCCGATATGTTGTTATTAACTAGAGTCCCCATGCTGGGCAATAGATCTCCTGAATAGATCTCTCTTCCTTCTAGCTGAAACTTTTTACCTTTTGACCACCATCTCCTCCATCTCCCCAATCACACCCACCCCTGACCCTGGCCCTGGGTAACAACCATTCTACTCTCTTCTTCTATGAGTTCAACTTCCAGATTCCACGTATAAGTGAGATAATGCAGTATTTATCTTTCTGAGTCTGGCTTAGTTTGCTTAACATAATGTCTAAAGTTGATTGTTTTACAAAAGAGGCAGAAGGCCTTGCTTTTAGACAGTTTGGCTAAGGATTCTTGAATGGCTCAAAAGTGGCAAAATGAAAGGTAACTCAAAGGATTCAGACACTGTTAAAGCCATTCTTCTGTGTCTGGACGGTGGTGTGATGAATATAACATAACTTTCAGGCCAGCGGGTCATGAGGCGGTGACTGGGCCAAAAGAATTTAGGTCAGTCCTGGACAGAATGGAGCCTGGCGTCCCCTGTCCCCCCAGGAGCTCCTGAGGCAGCCTCCTCCTCCTTCAAGGAGTTTGGGTTTAGGGCAGGGGTGTGGCTTTGCCGAATACGGACCTGAGTTCAAGTATTTGCTCCACTGCTCACTAGCTTTGCTGGCGCGTGACCTGAGAGGCAGGTCGCTTCGCTTCCTTGGGCCTCCTCGGTTTCTTCCTTTGAAAAATGAGATGATAATCATGTGTACCTTGCAGGACTATTGAGAAGCTTCAATGAGATAAGTACCTGACAATAGTAGGTGCTCAATAAATGGGACTGTCATTAGGTAACATAAGCATCAGTTGGGAAGCTACTCTGCCTGTGTTGTCAAGAGACTCCCCTTCATGCTGCCCTTGCTCCATGCATTTCAAAGCCAAATAGCTCAGATTTGGGGTAGGCAGCTATTTCAGACCATAAGATTAGTCTGAGAAGACCTCCTGGAGGAGGGGAGTTTAAGGTCAAGTAAGGAAAATGGGAGAGATGGCAGGCTCAGCAGGGTGGAGCTGAGCGGCTTAGACCCCGTCTGTCCTTATCTCCAGGACTGTGCCCGGGGCACTGCCAACTGTGTGGTGTTCAGCTGCCCACTCTACAGCTTCGACAGAGCGGCTGTGCTGCGTGTCTGGGGCCGTCTCTGGAATAGCACCTTTCTGGAGGTGAGGATACCACTCGGGCTCCAGTCTGTGTTTCTTCTTCCCCCTCAAAGCCCCTCTAGGACTCACTTCTCCTCCTCCCTCCTCACTGTCCAAATGCAGCATCCTTTTTATCTTTTTTTTTTTTGAGGCAGTCTTGCTCTGTACCCCAGACTGGAGTATAGTGGCACGATCTCAGCTCACTGCAATATCTGCCTCCCGGGTTCATATCTGCCTCCTGGGTTCAAGAGATTCTTCTGCCTCAGCCTCCCGAGTAGCTGGGATTACAGGCATTTGCCACCACACCCAGCTAATTTTTATATTTTTCATAGAAATGGGGTTTTGCCATGTTGGCCAGGCTGGTCTCAAACTCCTGACCTCAAGTGGTCCACTTGCCTTGAAGTGCCAATCCCTCCCAAAGCGCTGGGATTACAGGTGTGAGCCACTGTGCCCAGCCCAAATGCAGCATACTCTTAACTGAAACCAGGCAGAAACATCCTCTGTGTTGGGCACCATTCCATTTATAATTTCAGGAGGTAACGGGAAGAGAGGGAGTCATGGGACATTTAGGAGAAGGGTCTCCTTCTCTATTCCTTTAGGAGTACTCAGCTGTGAAGTCCCTGGAAGTGATTGTCCGAGCCAATATCACAGTGAAGTCCTCCATAAAGAACCTGATGCTCCGAGATGCCTCCACAGTGGTGAGCTGCAGGGCTGGGGGATGGGTGGGGAGCACTCTCTTCTTTCCTGCTCCCTCCAGCTCTTGCTCCATTGGCCCCTTGCTCCCCAGATCCCGGTGATGGTATACTTGGACCCCGTGGCTGTGGTGGCAGAAGGAGTGCCCTGGTGGGTTATCCTCCTGGCTGTACTTGCTGGGCTGCTGGTGCTGGCACTGATGGTGCTGCTCCTGTGGAAGGTGAGACTTGGGGGAGGGTGGGGCTGATGGGAGTGGACTTCCTGGTTGGGTGGGCAGCCTTTTGTACTGTGGTTCTCTCACCTACCCACTCATGTATTCAGCAAATCTGCACTGAATACTTACCCTGCATGTCTCAGGAACTCTATTAGTCCCTGGATGTTTCAAAGATAAATCAGATGCAGGCTTGGCTGCGGTGGCTCACGCCTGTAATCCTAGCACTTTCGGAGGCCAAGGCGGGTGGATCACCTGAGGTCAGGAGTTTGAGACCAGCCTGGCCAACATGGTGAAAACTCATCTCTACTAAAAATACAAAATTAGCCAGGCATGGTGGCACATGCCTATAGACCTAGTTACTTGGGAGGCTGAGGCAGGAGAAATGATTGAACCGGAAAGCGGGAGTTGCAGTAAGTTGAGATGGCACCATTGCACTCCAGCCTGGGTGACAGACAGAGACTCCATCTCAAAGCAAACAACCCACCCCAAAAACAAACAAACCCTCCCAAAAAACCCCAAAATAGCGAAAAAAAGAAGAAATCAGATGCCAATCTCGTTCTCAGGGATTTTGTAGTCTGGTGGGGTGGTAGTGGTGAGCCTGTAGCCAAGGACAAGGCAGAAAGTGTTGAGTTGAGAAACTGCAGTGGGAGTTTAGAGGGAAGAAAGCTTGAGAGGAGGCGGCACTGGAAGCAGTCCTTAGAGGAGGGTGGGGTAGTAGGGTTAGGATGTAAGGAGATGAGGTGGGTGGGTCCAGCTGGACCATGGTAGGCAAAGTCACGGAGGCAGAGAAGTGTGGTCTATCTTAACTAGAACGTGGCAGTGAGAACTGGAAAGGTAACAGTGGCTAAGAAGGCTGACAAGCATGGAGAACAGCCTCCAGGGAACAGCCCTTAGGGTGGAACTCAGAGCTTCCACACACCAGGCTCTGCATGGAAGCATTCTTGTACGCACAGAGCTGTGTACAGAATGACATTGGCATCCAGGGCTCAATATAAAAATACGTACATGCACACATCAGTACAGGGCATCCCACACATCACCAGGGGTCATATGCTGAGCCATCTGCCACATCTGGGGCTGTGTTCAGAACCATGCATGTCCTTGGGGCTCTGGAGAACTGCCCCTGCCTGTACCTGCTCCTTGGGAGGAATCACAGACTGAGCATACCCTTTGGCAAGTGTGAGTTATCAGTAGACCAGGGTCTGCAGTGGCATCTAAGCTGTTGGGAACCTGCCCAGTCTAAGGGAGATTGATGCCTCTGTAAAACTGGTCCCAGGATGCTTGCTCCCTGCTCCTATGGAAGGGAGACAGAACAGAGATGGGGGCTCCCATCCTTCCTCAATCTTCCCATCCTCTGCCTCCTCTGCCCTGCTTCTCCCTTGACATCCCAGTGTGGCTTTTTCCATCGGAGCAGCCAGCGCTCACCTTTTCCCACCAACTATCACCGGGCCTGTCTGGCTGTGCAGCCTTCAGCTGTGGAAGTTGGGGGTCCAGGGACTGTGGGGTAACTGTTGTGTGTGTGCATGTGTATATCTGTGTGTGGGTATGTATGTGTGTGACTATAAGGAGAATGCCCAGCATTCAGGTGACGAGGAATGTTGAGGGTGAAAGATGAGATTGCATGAGAGTGATGTGAGGTGAGAGGTTACTAGAAGGGTGCGGATATAAGGGTAAGTCTACACAGCCTGAAGCGTGCCCAAAGGGTTGGTGGGCTCATGGAGTGTGAGCATGTGGGAGTGTGGGGAGGTCCCATGCATGCTTTTTCTATGGGCATGAGTGTGCGAGGAGATGAATGTGTAAGGAGTTGCTATGCAGTCTGAGCATGTAGGAGTCCTGGGCCTCTGAGTGTGAGTGTGCCAGGGGTACGATCCCAGCCTGGTGTGTAGGGGCCAGCATAGTCCTGATTTGGGGTTACTGATGGACAAGAGGGGGGTGCTGTAAGGGGCATGCTGCCCACAGTATAAGTACACAGGGTGCCTGTTTATGAGGCTTGAGAGGCATCATTCCAGAGGTGCAAGGGTCTAGGAAGCCACTTCCTCAGATCTCGTTTGTGTTCTGGGGGACACTATTGGGTCTCTTAAGAAGCTAGAGTGGGTGGAAATTTTGAGTCAGGTCCTGATGCTCCACCCTCAAGCCTCTCTTTCAGGGGCCAAGGCAGATGCCCTTGGTCCTGTCTCTTGGACCCCCGCCTGGTCTCTGTCTTGCTGTGAATGAGAACCTGGGGACCCAGCACTGATGGGATCACTGTGGGCGCTGCCCACTGCATTTGATGCCGTTCAGTCTGTCTCCTTTCTGCCACAGCAGGGATGATGAGGGCGAGGAGCTGCGCTGTGCTAGGCGTCTGCTACAGGGACCGCAGCTCTTCAGGCTCCTCACCGTCAGGCCTGGTGTCCTTACAGATGGGATTCTTCAAACGGGCGAAGCACCCCGAGGCCACCGTGCCCCAGTACCATGCAGTGAAGATTCCTCGGGAAGACCGACAGCAGTTCAAGGAGGAGAAGACGGGCACTATCCTTAGGAGCAACTGGGGCAGCCCCCGGCGGGAGGGCCCGGATGCACACCCCATCCTGGCTGCTGACGGGCACCCCGAGCTGGGCCTCGATGGGCATCCAGGACCAGGCACCGCCTAGGTTCCTGTGTCCCAGCCTGGCTTGTGGCTCCCCTCCGCCCCTTCCCCAGAGATGGCTCCTTGGGATGAAGAGGGTAGAGTGGGCTGCTGGTGTCGCATCAAGATTTGGCAGGATCTGCTTCCTCAGGGGCACAGACCTCTCCCACCCACAAGAACTCCTCCACCCAGCTTCCCCTTAGAGTGCTATGAGATGAGGGCAGGTAAATCAGGGATAGGGCCACAGGGTAAGGTGAGAAGGTCAGGGGTGTCTTGATGCAAAGGTTGGGGGAAGGGATCCTAATCCCTCCCTCCCCCATTCACCCTGTAGAACAGGACCCCAAGGACTTGGCTCCCTAAGAAGTGCCTTAGCCTAGAGGGTCAGGAAGAAGGCTGTGTCACTAACTCAGGGGCTCCTCCCTCTCTAGTTTCTCCTCTCCTCTGACCTTACTTTGCTACATCAGTCTAGTGGTTTAATCTATTTATTAAAAAACATTTGAGAACAAAACCTCTGCCTCCTTAGACTCTTTCTCCCTCAACCTCAGTGTCTCTGATTCTCCTTGGTGCCCTCAGCTCGGGATGAAGGTGGTAGAGGGGAGAGAGGGTCTGGGGGCTTGGCAGGGATGTATACACCATGACTTTTGTGACCAGTTTCTGTAGCCTCAGGAGGAGAGCAAGGGGAGCTTTGCCACGGGAACAAAGGAAAGGAACAGGGAGCTGTCCCAGACGACGGGTAGGCAAACGTCAGGAGACCAGTCCAGAAACTTGCAGTTAAGGATCCAGGCGTTTCCTCCCCGTTGTCAGGGTAGAAGTACACCTTTTTCACTGTCAAAGGAGGAACTGAAGTTAGAGATTGCCCTGGCAGAGGCTGGGGAGAAAGGGACTAGGAGGTGATACGGAAATGGCTTCTCTCACTCTGCTAGGTCCCTCTCAGTGGAAGATAGATAGGTTGGTGGGTGGCTTGTAACTGGAGGCTGGGGAGGGAGCAAATGAGTGCCTTTGGGCTTGGGAAATGTTATTTCACAGCCTTTCCCATGATGTGGGGCCCAACAGGTAGCCATTTGAAGAGAGAGGGCTGTCGTTCCATTTGGACTTCAGAGAACCCGGCCTTCTCAAGATCCTTCCAGGTCTCTCTGGTGAGGCAGCAGCCATCCGCAATGTGTTTCCACGTGGGCTCCACAATTTGCTGCCACATGAGGGCCCAGCTTCCTTGTGGTTCCGCCACGTGCTCCCAGAAAAATAGCACACCTCCCTGGAAGGGAGGAGAGAGTTAGTGTCACTTGGCTACGTTCAGACCTTGCCCCCTATCGCCCTGATCAAATGGTCAAAGTTCCTGGTGAAGTAGGAGCTGCTGGTCTGAGAGTTCATGGAGCAAACTGTCATGCCCCTGACCTTTTTTTTCTTTCTTTTTTTCTTTTGTTGAGATGGAGTCTCACTCTGTCGCCCAGGCTGGAGTGCAGTGGCGCAATCTTGGCTCACTGCAACTCTGCCTCCCAGGGTTAACCGATTCTCCTGCCTCAGTCTCCCAAGTAGCTGGGATTACAGACACCCGCCACCACTCCCAGCTAATTTTTTTTTTTTTTTTTTGTATTTTAAGTAGAGACAGGGTTTCACCATGTTGGCCAGGCTGGTCTTGAACTCCTGACCTTGTGATTTGCCCACCTTGACCTTCGAAAGTGTTGATTACAAGCGTGAGCCACCGCACCTGGCTGCTGTCCCTGACCTTTCCTGTATCCCCTGCTACCACCTTCAAAGTGCATGTAAAGAACCTCATAACTGAAGGGGATGACTGGTGGGAGATCTTTAAAGGCTGATCAGAATAGCTGAGGGCACACAGAAGGGGAAATTGAGAAACAGGAGTGGAGGGCTCATTGTATTTTTTTTTTTTTGAGGCAGAGTCTCAGTCTATTGCCCAGGCTGGAGCAATGGCACAATCTTGGCTCACTGCAACCTACACCTCCCAGGTTCAAGTGATTCTCCTGCCTCAGCCTCCCAAGGAGCTAGGATTACAGGCATGAGCCACCACGCCCAGCTAATTTTTGTATTTTTCAGTAGAGACAGAGTTTCATCATGTTGGCCAGGCTTGTCTCTAACTCCTGGCCTCAACAGATCTGCCTACCTCAGCCTCCCAAAGTGCTGGGATTACAGGTGTGAGCCACCTTGCCCAGCTGGGCTCAATGTATTCTGAGACATTCAGCAACCTCTCTTAAGAGACCCAGCTGCATACACAAAGTGCTTCCTGGACATCACTGTGAACATCCCAGGGAAACCTCAGGCCCAGCTCTTGACTGAAGCTGGGGTTGCTCAAGCTCCTTGCCTCACTAGACTCTCCCGAGGCGATCACAAACTTCGTAAGTCCAAAACTTTCTTCCATCTCAGCAAATGGCACGTTTATCGGCTCTCCCCTCAGTTGTTCGTGCTAGAAACCCGGAAACCATTCTGAACGTTCTCTCCACAGTCTGATGGATTCTACTCTACTTCCCCTACTATCTTTCTTTTTCATTTTTCTTTCCAGCTATAAAGTCCTATCCCCTACTATCTTTATCTAGAACATTCTTTCATTTCCCCTGCCCCATCCACACTCTGCTTAATCCCTCAGATCTCTTTTTTTTTTTGAGACAGGGTCTCACTCTGTGGCCCAGGCTGGAGTGCGGTGGCACAATCATAGCTCACTGTAACTTTGAACTTGGGCTCAAGAGATCCTTCCACCTCAGGCTCCTGAGTAGCTAGGACTACAGGCTTGCACCACTACGCCTGGCTTGTTTTTGTATTTTTTTGTAGAGATGGTGTCTCTCTATGTTTTCTTGGCTGGTCTGGAACTCCTGGGCTCAAGCCATCCTCCTGCTTCGGCATCCCAAGCACAGATCTTGATTTAAACATCAGTCCCTTAGGTGTGCTCCCCACTCCGCTCCCTGTCCCACAGTGGTAGGTGATTTCTCCTGTTGCTTTCACAACACCCTATTGTGCTCGTCGTGGCTCTGGTCATGTCTCCTATTCACCAGCAGGTAGGGTGGATGGGGTGTCTACCGTGCTACTTACTACTTCAGACCCCTCATCCTGGGGGCTGAACCCTGGGGCGGCTGAGCTGCGTTTGCCTGCCCCGCACCCATCCCCTTCCCGTGCTGCTCACCGGCCTCAGTACTCTCTGGACCTCCTGCAGGACATTCCTCGGGCTCTGCACAGAGCACAGCACCAGGGTGCAGACCACCACATCCATGGAGCCATCAGCCAGCTGCCTCATGTCCTCTCCAGGAGCCACCACAAACTGCTCGTATTGGAGGTGCCTGTTCTCAGCCATGCTCTTTGTCAGGAACTTCTCAAAGTGGGGATTTGGGTCCAGGCAGGTGACCCTGCAGCCCGCTGGGTAGAACTGAAAGTTGGCGCCGGTGCCACAGCCCAGCTCCAGCAGGGCCACTTTCCCGGAGGCCCCCATGAGCCCCTTGATCTGGCTGAAGAGCTCCCGTTTCTTGCTCTCCATCTTGTGGTTGCTCTTGCGGGGCAGCACGGCCATCAGGTAGGGGAAGTAGGTTTTGCACAGGGGCTGCCAGCAGCCCAGCAGAGCCAGGAGGTGCAGGGGCAGGGTGAGAAGCAGCACCAGCAGCTGCAGGAGTGGGACCAGGACGTCCATGGCTGACCAGCTCTGAGCGGTGCTGCCGCTGGGGCACTGGCCTTTTCCCTGCTCAGCCTCGGCAGGCACTGGCGTCCCCTCCCACTGTGATGGGACTTTGCTCCTTGTCTCCTACTTGGCAATTTCATCTTTGCCAGGGTTGAGTGGGTGTATGAAATTCCTCCACAGGGTGCAGGCCCCACAGCCCCACTGGCTCTTTGACGACTTTTATGTGGGCGGAGGGACAGGTGGTGCCCATGTTCCTGAGTTCTGGGGCACTGTGCCCAGCTGTAGGGGGGTGGGGTTGCTGAGTCATCTCAGAGGGGAATGGGAAGGGGTAAGGGGATATGTTTCAGATCAGACTCATGGCCAGGTGCATGGGGGCTGGCAGGGCGCTGTGGGGTGGGTAGTGGCAATGCTGGGGACAGAGCTGACTCATGGGACATGTTCTGGCCTCACTCCATCCTCAAGTCAGGCTCTTCAGAGGGGCCATAGGAAGGAATCGGTGTTCTTGGCAGAGTAAAAAGTAGATGTACAGGACAGAGACAGCATGCCCTCTCCTGGAAAGGGTGAGAAGTTTAGTTCTGTGTGGAATTGGGTGAGCTGGAGAAATTGGGGGAAGTGAGGTCAGAGAGTAATCACTCCTTAGAGACTCCCTCCCTCCCTTCTTCCCTCCCTCCCTGCTTTCCTCCTTTCCTTCCTTCCTTCTTTTTTTGAGACAGGGTGCAGTGGCACAGTCTCAGCTCACTGCAACCTCAATCTTCCCAGGCTCAAGTGATCCTCCCACCTCAGTCTCCTGAGTTTCTGGGATTACAGGTGCACACCACGGTGCTCAGCTATTTTTTTAACAAACGGAGTCTCACACTGTGGCCTGGGCTGGAGTGCAATGGTGCAATCTCAGCTCACTGCAACCTCCACCTTCCAGGTTCAGGCGATTCTCCTGCCTCAGCCTCCTGAGTAGCTGGGATTACAGGCGCCCACCACCATACCCAGCTAATTTTTTGTAGAGGCAGGGTTTCACTATGTTGGCCAGGTTGGTCTCGAAATCCTGACCTCGTGATCTGCCTGCCTTGGCCTCTCAAATTGCTGGGATTACAGGCATGAGCCACTGCACCCAGCCATTTTTTTCCCTCTGTATTTTGTAGAGACAGGGTTCCACCCTGTTGCCCAGGTTGGTCTTGAACTCTTGGGCTCAAGTGATCCACCTACCTTGATGTCCCAAAGTGCTGGGATTATAGGTGTGTGCCACTGTGCCCAACTGAGAAAAATTCTTTTTACAAAATGTTATTATCAACTTTTTTTTTTTTTTGAAAAGGCAGCAGCACATTCACTTGGTACACAATTAAAAACATACTAAAGAGATTACAGGGGAAATTCTCTCTTGTACTCCTGTGTCCTAACCACTCAGATCTCCTCTCTGGAGGCACTAAATACCACATTGTCAATTTAGTGTGAATACTTCCCGAGATGACTTGTGGATGAGCAGGGAACACACACACCACGTGTTTAGATCCATGTACATATATGCATATGCATATTCCCTTTTCTTTTCACAAACGGTAGTATATTGTATACACTCTTGTATACCTTGCTCTCCCTGCTTCTTTTTTTTGAGACAGAGTCTCGCTCTTGTTACCCAGGCTGGAGTGCAATGGCACGATCTTGGCTCACCGCAACCTCCGCCTCCTGGGTTCAGGCAATTCTCCTGCCTCAGCCTCCTGAGTAGCTGGGATTACAGGCATGCGCCACCATGTTCAGCTAATTTTTTGTATTTTTAGTAGAGATGGGGTTTCACCATGTTGATCAGGATGGTCTTGATCTCTTGACCTCGTGATCCACCCACCTCGGCCTCTTTCCCCTCTTCTTAACCGTGTATTGGATTTAGTAGATAATAGCAAATG